ACCCCATAAGGCAGTGTTTGTACACGCACATGCACACACAGACGGACAAGGTGGAAACAGTACGGACAAGGTGGAAACAGTATGCCCCTTCTGCTTTGCCGGCGGGGCATAATTTAAAATGTGATATGAGAAAATGATATCAGGGAACAAAAAAAAACGCAGCCGATGTGTCTGTATGTGATGGAACATGGTTGGACCACTGAAAAACAAAGCTTTGTGTCAAGGAAAGACCCTGATGCAGGAATTTTGTTTCTATCTCAAATACAAACATTATAAAATAGTTCCCTTGAAGTGACTGGTAGGTTTAAACTCACAATTTCATTTTATAGTTGGAACGTCGAAATGCATATATGTTTTTCATGATGTCTACTAATAGGTTTACTACACCATGAAATATTGCAGTCACTATTTGTTTTTTGACACCTCTCTCCCACAGATTCTGCTTGATTTTAAGTGATAACTGATTAATTTAATGTAAATGCAATTACAATGTACTTCTATTTGAATACGAAATTAGTTGCAAATTTACGAGCACTTTCCAAACTACCCATTCACAAAATGCTTGAACCCAGCTCTGTAGCGCAAGCGATTGGGAAGATACGTGCAACACGTACACCCCTATACATTTCCACACAATAACAATTGCTATGCGTAAAGTACTTTGGTTGCTACTGGTAAAGTACTTTGGTTGCGACGGATATTATTCGTTATCCTGCGAGCGCGAGTGGAACACGGAATAATGTAGTGCGTCTGCTCATGGCGCGAGCGTGATAACGAATTTATCTTCAAGCAAACTTGATGCGCAGTACAGTTGGAACTAGCACGCTTTACACGGACATTCAGCAGTTCAGCATATGCAGCTGCAATGGTGCTTGTATCTTGGAACAGCGGAATATGCAGAGTGCGGTATGGACCGTGGCCGTGCGGTATGGTTATATGTAGCATGGCTTGTTGCCATGGATCGACCAATCAGGATCGAGGATTCAAGTTTACTTGAAGATAAAGTACTTTTGACAGTGCACAGCAGGATAGCAAAAGTAGCAAAAGTTAGACTAGCTCTTGGCCAATCAAGATAAAGAATCTGTAGGTGTGGTGTTCTAATTTTCGATACATCAAATATAATTGATACCAGGTTAATGATATCAATTTCTGATAGACGGACCTGGCATTATTAAGCTGAAATCATCAGTCATGTGGTTGCGAAGGGCGATTTCTAAAGGTTACGTAACACTTCATTTTGAATGAAACTACATGTACACACACATGTTCACGTTGGCAGGCGAAATCTTTGAAAAAAATTAATTTCTCCCATTTGGAAGACCGTATCTTCATGCAACTTTCAGGGTTTACTTTCCTGACATAATGATCCAAGTACGTGCTAAAAATCGTAGTGATGTGTTCATTACCTTTCGTTGAAATTGGAAAAATACGCCTGGCTACGTGCAGTTTTGAAAGTTGGTAGACTAGCATTTGCAATATCTGTCAATCTTTTCAAGACTCACAAATATTAATAAGGTTCCCATTCAATATGGTATGCAGTATAAGTTTGAAGAAGAGCCTCCTTCACGAGTTGTTAACTGATAAATATCATCCTTTTTGCTGGCTGCCATTGGTCAATACCAAGACCCACGCCAAAAAAAAAGCCGAGTGACGCTAATGAATATGCTAATCTACCATCGCCTGGCCAGAATCGATCATGATTACGTCATCAGGTGTCAAATTACAAGTGATTTTAGCTGAAAAAGTGACCAATTACTTTACATATAACTCTTGAATTAAATCATCAATGATGTTTGCATTCTGTTATCGGATAGACCATTAATTGCTAAACATTTTTTGTCGTGTACGTAAGGCTAACAAAAAAGTCTCCGGATTCTGGTATGCGCGCGCGTAGCCGTAGTCATGCGCGTCGGCAAAATGAAAAAGTTTTTTTTCCAATGAAAGATGATGTCTCAAAACCGCAAAACTCACTGGTTTGACTGGAATCCTGCTGCTGCACAATTTTAACGTGTTTTTAGATGGGGTTACGATCGAGAATAAGCTTTAAGTGGCCTCTGTGAATCCCATATATTTGCACTAAGTTTAGTTGGGCACCATTTTCATGCAGTCATCAGCCGACATTTGAAGCCCAAAAAAAACCGGTAAAAAAAAAAAAAAAAGCCGCGTCGCCGCACCACTTTTTGGGCAAGCTCCATACCATACCAGAAACTGCAGACTTTTTTTTTTTGCCTAAACTCGCTTGACCTTTACTTCCCGGTCTACTGGTTTACTTCCCGGTCTACTGGAAGGTCAAAGTTAGGTGAATTCAAAACGAAGACAGCCTGAAATCAAAACAAAGCACTATTTCTTCCGAACGGTTCACGGGATGATCATAAAACCTAGTGTGAACTTGAACCATGTTATAAAGATGTTATAAACCTTGTTACATCATCATGACGTCATCGGGTATCAAATTACAAGCGATTTGAGAGCACAATTTGACAAAATGGTTTGAGCTATAGCTCTTGAACTATATAGAGTATGGTGTTCATTTCATCTGTTTCTGTTTATTTACATCCATTATTTGACCCCTGTCTCATGAGTTTGTTCCTAGTCCAATTTATGACGTCTGTTATACTTAATGTTGACCTATTGCTTCCAAATACTATGACATCATCTAACCGGAAGTTGGGTGCTATTATTACATACACTTAAAATTAGGGCTGTGCCGAATATTCGAATATTCGGTTATTCGATCGATAATCGAATATTCAAATATTTATTTTCGAATAAGAACATTCGGTGGTGATATGCAATGAAATAAAAAGGTGGAAAAAACTTTTTTTTTAACAACAAAAGTGTATTCTCAAAGTTAAGTTTCAAGTTGCTGCCAAAAAAAACCCATAAAAGTAGCTTGTATATATGCCAAGCAATAATGCCATACATATATTACTTCTGCTTTGGGAGTGCTTGCAGTAAAGCCAACCCATTTTTTTAACGCCGGACTGCAACACCAATCGCAGGAATTTTTCAGTGGGGGGGTGCTGGGGGGGCTGGAACATTTCATGGGGGGGCGTCATGTAGATCAATGGTAATTTTTTTAGAAACTCAAAATCTCACTGGGGGGAAGACTGGGGGGGCGACAAGGTTTCAAGGGGGGGGGGGCTGTCCCCCCCCCCCTCCCATGGCTACGCCACTGGTCACAAAAAACAAGAGTGATGACGTCATCATTCAAAAGGGTGCCCCCTAGCGGCACATATAATAGTGTTTGCTTTCTTTGATTTGAAAACCATCTATTCAAATTTTACAATTTGTGACGTTTTTCAAATTTATGACGTCATGTGACCGGAAGTTACTTTGAGGAGAATTTGAAAAGGATCGTATTTTTAATTAAATTCTATCATTTGATCCCTGTCATATCCTCGTAGTCCAAATAACGATATACATTACAATGTTCACCTTTGGATCTCTAAAGCTGTGGCATCATCAAACCAGAAGTTAGGTGTAATTAATACATAGAATTATATTTTCCGTTTTTTCAAAAGTTTTTTTTTACTTCACAATGAAAACTTTTCCTCAGTATTCACTTACCGTTTTTGACTGATGACATCATCAAACCAGAAATAACTTGTTTGCGTACATAGAATGTTTACTGAAATTTATCATAGCGTTAAAGATACATTTTTGTAACAAAATAATTGATTGTACTGGAAGGGAGTTTATTTGGTGATCCTTTGTTCTTACAGTGATGAACATTCATTCCCAACTTAACTGGGCAGTGTATATTGAAAAGGATGTCCGCCCAACCACTCTGTGTTTGTAACTCAACAAACGCGAACCTCTAGTTAAGATTTGAGTCTTTGAAATATCAAATCAGATTTAAATAAGAACAAGAAAAGTAGTGTTAAAAAACACAAATGCCCCGCAACCATGCCTATTTCCATGACATAACACCACTCTATTAACATCAACTTACCTGGGTCACATGGAACATTCATTGACATCGTTATTGTTTTCTTTAGGTTATATATGTAATGTATTGATGCCTATGATCCCATAATGATTTTTTTGGTTTTTTTTGCTTTTCTGTTAGGAAGTCATTGTATGTGATTTAAGCAAACTGACTGGATATTTTCAATCTTAAGCAAGACATTTCTCAAAGGCAAATCCTTTGAGCATAATCCCTTGAGCATTTACCAGGCCTACATGTACATGGAAATAAGAATTTTTAAACAATCAAAAGAAAATATGGTTATTTGAATAAGCTTGAGTTATCATCATGACATCATTTCTTTGTTTTTTTTTATAATTAAATAGAGAACAGTTGGCCTATGGGGTCCGAAAGTGACTCAAAATCCTAAGAACAACCTACGGAGCTGCATATACATATACATGTATTACGGTTCAAGTCTCAAGTTTTAGTAATACATGTACATGTAATTGTTGAGAAAACTTTTTCTGTTGTTTCAATTAAAAATATGACTGTCCAAGAAAAAAGGGTGAAGAAGCCACATTGATAATACAAAAAAAATATTTAAAAAAATGTATAAACAGTGTGCAGGCCCCCTAATATTTTAGTGAGTGATTACATTTGCACATGTATACTGGTTTGGTAAAAAAAAAAAAAAAAAATAAATAAATAAATAAAATCCTATTGTTTTAATCCCAATGACCTTGGCTTTGTCTTATAGGGTCCAAACTTATTCATTTTCTGTAAGCTACACTAGAGTAGAAAGCTACCTTAATTGTATCAAGGTCCAAGACATAAATGGAGATACAATCCAGATATCGCTGTGGAACCAAATGCACACGCACACACGCACACGGACGGACAAGGCGGAAACAGTATGATTCGCCGGCAGGGCATAACAAGAGGAAGTGTCTGACTCTAGACAGATCACAGGGTTTTTGATTTGCAGTTCCTGCATGGATAGAGGGCTTTGAAAATTAGCCTTTAAGTTAATGTCATATGGGCTTAAAAACACAACAATGTTTTGAACAATTGAATAGGCAGTGCTTACCTCATCGGAGGAGTCATGATATGTTGGATGAGATTCCAAGTCAATCATCTTATCCAAATTGTCTCCATCACTAAGCTGTGAGTAGCGGTATGATGCCAAGCTGAAAGGTCAAAACCTTCATGATTTGATTCAACAGCGTGGTAAACTGATTTCTTGGCATATGCAATTACAAATGTGAGTATCAAATTACTCAGCGAATATTTGGTGATCAACAATCTGGACATATTACTAAATTCAGGGTTAATGTTCCTGCCAGTTATACCACAAACTATCGTATCTACATAAGCATTTTTTTTTTGCTTAGCAGTGTTGTGAAATTAGGCCTAGACAGCCAGTCTTTGTCAATCGTGACGTGACAGCCACGTGACGGGCTCTCGACCAATAGAAATGGGTAAACTGTCTTAGGTTTTGAAAATCAACATTAGGTCTGTAAGGTTTTCCATTGCAAAATATGCACGTAGGCATTTATCTGGGGTTTTTTTCTGATGCAAAACCCTGCAATTTTCGGCATTAAGTAGCAGAAATATATCGAACTGCATACCTGAAGTTCTGCTTAACTGCAATCATCTGCCCTTGTTTTCAAGCACATATGAATCCCACAGATAACAAATTGCAGTTTGTTTACATTAAATTACACCAAAACATTTCATAAAGTACACCGGACATATAGTGATAAAAATCTTATCATTTACCTTGGTCTGGTGCAGGGGAGTTTGTTGTGCCTGTACAGCAAGAAAACAAGAATTCCAGAAAAGAAAGCAACTGCCAGCAGAATCATGACAATTGTCCATGTCTTTACCTGATGGCCATCTAACTGCAGAGTGACACATTTCAAATAAACATGCCAAAATTGTTGTACTGTACACTGTCACAAAAGGTGTAGTTATATACAGTCATTATTACAGGGTGATTAAAAAAAAAACGAAACCCAAATGTCGGGACCATTATATTGTTTTAGTGAATTTCTGCATGTAGCCCCTCAAAATCTAGGATACAAAAGCTCAAATCATAGGCTTTCTTTTAGTACAACAATCATTCAAATCACTCATGTACTTTTCAAGTTACCAAATTTTAAGCACAACCACCGTTTTAAAGTTCTGTCCACGGATCACAACAAGGTAAGTGTTCTTTCAGCAAAACAAAAACAAATCACAAAGGGACGTGTGTGAATTGTTTTCGTTTTGCTGAAAGAAGGCACACCTTTTTTTGTGATCCGTGGACAGAACTTTAAAACAGTGGTTGTGTTTAAAATTCCGTAACTTGAAAAGTACATGAGTGATTTGAATGATTCCTGTACTAAAAGAAAGCCTATGAATTGGGCTTTCATATCCTATATTGTGAAAGGTCTACATGCAGAACTTCACTAAAACAATGGTCCCAACATTTGGGTTTTGCTTTTTTTGAAAGAAAAATATCTACATTGGTCTGCAGATGCACTGTTATACAGGTCAGAGTGAAGAGGGAGGAATATTATCGCAAGGTTAAAATCTGGATTTTTCCATTTCACGAGGCGAAGCTGAGTGAACTGGAAAAGTCCAGATTTTACAGAGCAATAATATTCCTTCCATTTCACAATCTAAAGCCACTAGATCCTTGTCATTTGATATATTTGAACTTTTATTTCAATACAAAATTGGTGGAAACTGTATTTGTCTCTTCCAAACCACCCCTTCACAAAAATGTTTGAACCGAACTCTGTAGCGCTGGCTCTTTGGAACAATACGCGCTACACGCAATGTGAACGCCCATACTAGCATGCATTTGCACACAAATACCGCGTCATGGAACAAGAATGATCCTATCTGTTCAATAGTATTTCCCATTCCCTATGGGCGAGTGGGACTTTTTGAGCCCCGGCGTGAATGGGAGTAATAACGAATGTCACGTGATGTAAGTTCTACCAATCAAATGACAGGGATCTGTATGACGGTTATATAATAAAAACTATCATGGACGGACTCTTGGATACAAGTCATAAGGCCCCCAAAAATACTTCTGTTTCCGGTTACCCGACAAACCATAATTTTATGGCACAACCCTAGAGTTTATAATCAGCAAATTAAAAATGAAAGTTTAAAATTCATGTTGTCTTTTCTGTCTTCGTGAAAATGCTGGTCGACTACCTGTTTACGTCAGAAACGCACGGGCAATGCCACACAAAGTGAGACGGGATTTTTGTGTCTGGGTGACAAATCAAATTAGGTTTTGCCCTTCACCGACGTATAAACACTGTATACTCAGCGTGTTACCTCCCGAGTGAAAGTTGGAAAAATGAACCCATGACCTCCTGCTGTATACATGTAGTGCAGATGTCTTACCACTCAACCATTGAGCTAACCGGATTGGTTGGCTGGTTCAAATCGTATGTACATAGCAGCGGGTACCGCATTAACTATTCATGTTGTCTTACATGTATGAGCAACTAATCCTAGCAGGCTATGATCTGATGTGAACTGCCGCATTAATTGTGTCTCTCCCTCCCCTTTTTTTCTCTTTTCAAGTCTCTCTCCCTCTCTATATATTGCAATTTTTTTAATTTTTTTTTACAAGGGAGTCCATTGCCCCCTTGCCCCCCCCCCCCCCCTTTGGCTACGCCTATGGGTTTGATGGTTGATGTAACATGCCATAGTCCGTCGGGGGTGGTTCTGAGATGGCCATTCTTAGTTGCCCTGGGTTGGATGGGGGTCAGGGGGCTACGGTCAAATGTCGAAAATTTTGAGTTTAATTTCGTGAACAAGTGCCGTTTTTGGATTTAAAGTGTTGAGATTGACCTCCTGAAACCAAAAATGCTACGTAAGAATGGAAACAAGTTGGATAAAGTTGCAATAAAATGGTTTAAAAATTACATTTTTATATATTTCATAAGCCTAGATACAAATGTACACGTATCCTGGGTAATAGTGGAGATGCTTAGACCAATTAGTTGTGCCCAAATTCTGGTAAATGCATGCAATTTGGCATGCAGAGCCGAAACAGTATAACAAAAAATCATTTTAAGAGGTGGACCCACCTTGAATCTTGCCGATTCGGGGGCAGAGCTTGATTTAAAAAAAAAAAAGGGAGGGCGCGCAAGGAATAAAAATTCAGAAGAACTGTATTATAAAAGAGGTTGTGGAATGCTGAACATTTTTTTTTTTTTTTTTTAATTGTTATACCGTTTCGGCTCTACATGCCAAATTTCATGCTTTAACCACAATTTGGGAACAAATAATTGGCCTTAGCAGCTTTTTTCTGAAAAGTGCAAACTTCTACAATGAGAAAAACAATGCAATACAGGTGGGGGTGTGCTCCAATAACAATGAATGTGCTTGACTCACTGTGCTAATAACAAACTATGTACATGTATAGTGCTGCAGTGCAGGTTAAAAACAGAACTTGAAGCTAGTGAGTATAACATCCCTCAATGCTGATTTGAACGCACTGAGGGAGGGTAGGCTGGCTGGGTCCAAGGTCAGTCTCGGCAAGTTTGTGGGAAGAATGAGTAGACAACCTGTGTTTCGAAATGGAGCACAAGGAACCCTGAACTGTGACCTCTAGTACTAAATTTGGCCTCAGTGAGGAAGGAACTCCAGTGTATGTCTACCAAGATCTTATAAAGCATCCTTAGATGGCTCTGAAGACATCTGGCCTTGAGTGGACTCCCGTGCAAGTCTTGTAGCATTAATGTTACACTGCAGGTGCGGTCGTAGTTGCCAGTGCTGAACTTGCTCCAGTTTTTTAATATTTTTTTCAGTGTGGGGATCCCAGGTTGGAGCGGCGTACTCAATGATGGGGCGAACATATGTCATGTAGCTAGCCTCTCTGATTCTGCGAGTGCAACAGCTGAAGTTGTGGCTGAGAAAAGCTCACGTGGAATTAGCCTTCTTTGTTACTGCATCAACACCCAAGTATTTGGCAGAGTCAACCTCCTCCAGACTGTGTCCACGGATGTTATATGATGATGGGACTGGTTTCCGCTTGTTTGTGATGCGTACTACCTGACACTTGGTTGGATTGAACTCCATCAGCCATGTACGTTCCTACTTGAACAGTGCATCCAGATCTTGCAATAAGATGATGTCAAGACTCGATGAGATACGTCTGTACAGTGCACAATCATCTGCAAAAAGGCGGGTTGTTGAGCTTTTGACGCAGGAAGGCAGGTCGTTGATGTATATCAAAAAGAGAAGTAGACCTAATACACTCCCTTGGGGCACACCTGATGTAACTGGTACTCTCCCATCAACAATAACCTGTTGTGTACGATTGTGGAGAAAATCTTGGATCCACTGCAAAAAGTGACCTTGGACGCCGTAGTAATCAACCATCTGAAGGAGTCGACGGTGGGAGACCTTATCGAAGGCTTTGGAAATCCAGTAAGAGAAGGTTAATCTGCCCTTTCTCATCAAGCCCTTTAGCTAGGTCAAGGTTGGTCAGAATCAGTTGGGTGTCACATGATCGCCTCTTTCTGAAGCTGTGCCGTGCATCGGATAAGATGTTATGCTGAGTGAGATGGCGAATAACAGCACAATGAAGTATATATATGAGCACATATTAAACTTACATACATGTAGGATTGCTGTCAGCGATATCGGATGGTAGTTTGCAGCCAGTGACTGGTTGCCTTTCTTGAACAAGGGTACAACAAGATCCTTCTTCCATGCTGACGGAACTACTCCCTGATCTATGGAAGCTTAGTGGTTTCAGGTTCTTCAAAAGCTTGATTACCCCAGGGCAACTGACTTGGATATCATCGATGGTAGGGTGAGGGTTGGAACCCAAGTCGGTAGGTCCGCAGAACCTTCGCAGGTGAACACTGAACAGAATTGCTTGTTCTGGATGTTTGCCTTGGTTTTCAGGTCGGCATGCATGAAATTGCCATCCTTCAGAGGAGCTACTCCATTCTGATCGCATCGTTTTATCTTCACCAACCCACCAAGTTTTTTGTTCCTGAAGGGCTCAGAGCAGACGATGGTTATGATATATTGGTTACATAGGCTTGACAACACGTCTGTTGTGACTCTTTCTCTTAGGCGTCTGAAGCGAAGCCAATCCCACTCTTTATTGGTACGCCTGGCTTTCTTGAAAGCATGTGACTTCCTGCGTGACGCTCTTTGATGATGAATTAAACCACGGTTGGTTGAATCTTGTGGTACTGAGCTTTGATGGAACATGCTCCTGCATCGATATTTCCAGACCGTCCTGCTCTTCAGTCGCCAGCTGTTTGATTCGAGTATGTACAGAGCAACTATCAACAATGCTGTCAGCCCACAACTTAGACTCTGCCCTAAAGGTGTCAAAATCAGCACTGTTCCATAAGGCTTTGACCCTCAAGGCCAAGGCCAAGGCTTTGACCCTAAAGCCTCGAGGCCAAGGCCAAGGCTTAACCCTCAAGGCCAAGGCCAAGGCCCTGTTTTATGAAATGACCACTGATATAGAACTAATTATAGTCACATGAGTGACATATCATCACGCAAGGGCGGATCCAGAACACAGTTTGGGGGGGGGCCAAGAAATTTTGGCCCCCCCAAAAAAAGTGGGGCAAAAAATTATGGCTTGGGCTTCGGGGCCCGCTTTAAGGGCCCCGAATTTTTTTTGGATTCGAGATGCTCTGTGGTGCGATTTGAGGCAATTTCTGACCATTTTAACCGATGTTTTTTTAGGAAAAGATGGTGGTGTTCTCATTGCCTGCCTTTATTACGACGTCACATGAAAAAAAAATAGTTTCGTTTTTTTTGGGGGGGGGGCATGGCCCCTTTTGGCCCTTCTGGATCCGCCCTTATCATCACAAATTGCTCGTTACGTAGAACAACATTTCTTTAATTGCAATCAATATGCTCCCATAGGCCTACACCGTTTTATGACTGCATTGTATCTATTAAAGTATAAGTTCAGGTCTTCAATATGGTTTAACTAAACAAAATAATGATTTACTTCTATATTGACACACAATTTTCCCAAGTGTAACAAAAGGGGGATCCAAGAAACTGATTTTGGAAATTTTTATTTGCTTGCCCAACATGGTCAGAAATATCAGCATCATCTAAAACAGATACATGCAAATCTTTAGCACTTATCAGGGAGACATATACAACCAATCAGATCTATTCCATAGTTATATGCAATTAAAGTGATCATCTCATTAGCCCCACAAGTGTACGGAATATTTTTGCAGCAAATCTACTACAATGGTAACAAAATATGATGCTATAAAAGTGGAAGTGTGCCCAACACACAAATCTATAGGGTGCCTCCCTCCTCCATGGTAATACGATTAAAATGGTAACAGCAAAATTTACAACAGATTTATCTGGAAAGTGCAAAAATCTATGGGCCTTGAAGAGTCTTGACTCAAAATTGCAAGGCCCTGAACCCTCAAGGCCAAGGCAAAGGCTTTTGCCCTCAAGCCTCGAGGCCAAGGCCAAGGCCCTAAAATCCAGCCTTAAGGCCAAGGCCCAGCATCAAGGCACTACATCACTGATATCATATGACGAGATGGTTTTCGCCTCTGTGCCTGTACATTTGTGTCAAGAAGAATGATGTCATGATTGTTTAGGCCTGGTGAGCTCTCGCATCTGGTAACATATGATGGGAATTTATTAATATAAGATCGAGTGTGTTGGTTCTACTTGTAGGGAAGTTGACTACTTGATCCAAGCCCACTCTAGCAACAGTGTGCAGAAACAACTCGCTGATAAGATGACGATGCTGGTGACCAGTCACTTGATCAGTTTCCCAGTTATTGTCTCAACACTTTAATCCAAAAATACTGCAAGTGAGACTTGCGCAATCCCCCTGGCATGCTGGCAGTTTTTTGTAAAGCGAGTATCCCTAACCAAAATAGTAGATTTCTATTGTTTTAGCAAAATAATGCTTTGACCTTTGACCTATCGGTCCCAAAATCAATAGGCTTGATAAGGCTACCAAGAACAACCCACAACCAAATTTCAAGTTCATATATTGTAAGTAAAGTATTTTTCAAGTTATCGTGCCGACAAGAGTTAACTTAACCAAAACATAACACACACACAGAAAAAATGCATACGCACACACATGCGCGCACAGTCGTGTTTTACTATACGCCTGAGGACAACCTATTGTGTTTCCCTTTGTCCCTCTAATATAACACTTTCCCATAGACTAAGCACATAACCGTACGATAGAGGACCAGTTTTAACAATAGGCACCGTCGTCCGAGGATCAAAGGCCCCTTTGTGCTCCTTTTGTTGTCTGTCCTCGAGCGTAATACAATACAAGAGCGTTTGTTTATGGTGTAAATCGAGGATTTTCTTTTTTTTTCTCTTCCCTTTTCCTTTGTTTGTACTTAAACTTTTTCGCAACAGCTCTCATTGGTTTTGTACACGTTTTCCAACCGATGAGTTGTCCATTTGGTTCCTGACCTCGATTCATATATGATGTTGCACGTGTGTGACCTCGATTTACACCATAAACAAACGCGCATAGACAAACACACAGAAGGAATAGCTGTCGCAATATTCCCCTCCGGCTTGCAGCATGGGGGATAAAAACGGCACTTGTGCGCGACATGCTAATTCAACTCGAAATTGTTGACATTTGATCTTATTCCCCTGAACCCAATCTGACCCAAGGCAACTTGAGAATACCCCCCCCCCCTCCCCAATAGGCGTAGCCTGGGGGGGGGGGGGTAAGGGGGGTATTTCCCCCCCCCCAATATTTTGTAAAGAATGCCCTTTTCCATTCAAATGCCCTTTTTTCATCGAGCTTAAACCCCCCCCCCCCAATAATTTGTAAATAGTGCCCTTTTTTATGAAGTGCCCTTTTTTATGAACTAGTGTCCTTTTCAAAAAAGAAGTGGTGCCCTTTATTCTGGCATCTGCCGTTTTGGGTGCCTTTTTTCAGAATTTCGCACATGTATCGCCCTGAAAAGCACCATATATTTGCCCTTTGTGTGCATAAGACGGTACCAGCCCCCCCCCCCCTCCCTATAGAGAACCTATCTCTACTACAACATAGTTATTTCATTCAATACTTGCAAAAAACTTCACAGACTTTTATCAATGCGTATTGAAAAACAAAAATCGATGTCTTACAGTGTAATATCCGTAATGGTCATTTATAGTGCGTATATCTCATTAATTACTTCAGCTACATGACAGGCCTTAGCTACAGTTGTAACAGAGTTTTAGATACTCTATGTGGACATTCCTTTGTTTTCATGTAGTTAAGAAAACTCGGTACAAAAAATAACTTTACTTTAATTGTGAAGACTCTTTCAACCCAAAATTTGCTTATTGATTTCCTTGAATGTTTCTCTTTATTCTGCGACAGGTAACCCTAACCCAAAAATGCCCCTAAACCTGTTTTCCAGAGAGGGCGAAATGTTATGTGGACACAGCTTAGTCCACATAACGTCAACACACCCTGAATTTTGTGGACATCTTTTGTTCACATGCCCACATAGTGACTGTTAGACAAACTCAGACATACATGTTTTGGGTAGTTATGGGGTACCACTATTGTCCACTTGACTTCCCTTCTTTTATTCTCCTTTGTTCCCATTGAAATCTCAAACTCCATAGCATTTTACGTATGGGGTACTGAGATTTCTAAAGACCGACTTGCAGGGTACCATTGTCCCTATTGTTGCTCTTTGTTCCCGGTACCCCATAAGTCAGTATACGTATAAACCCAACCACCCACGGAAGGACAAGGCGGAAACAGTACGCCCCTTGGGCTTCGCCGCGGGCATAAAAAAAAAAGGCGTGAAACCACAACTTGCCAGCTTTGCCTGTTTGATCTGACTGCTGGTGACTAGCCATTGTTAAAAGTAAAGCAGGGGAAGTGGAAGTGAATTTTGATCGTCTGTGACTGTTTAGACAGCAGGAGGACTAATTAAGGTAAGGTTTTATCACTTTTGAGGGTGGTTTTGATTGCTTTTGTTGTGCAAATGAAAATAATTCAAACCAACAATATGCATATGATTAAATACTCCATTCAATCTGCACATAAACAAAATTGCAAAAATATCAAAATAAAAAGATTTTCCGACTGACTGATCCTATTTTTGAAAGTCATGTAATTGGAAGCAGAAGTAATTTTTGGTTGTTCTTGGCCTCATCACTAGCAGACTATGAAACACCACTATGAAATGATGTAATCTACCATGTAAAGCTCAAATCATTTAAAGACAAGACCATTTAAAGGACGTCTTGACGGACAAGGAGGTGAAGATGGCAACACGGGTCCGGATGTTGGAGGCAATGGTGCGCAGCAGACTAGTCTATGCAGTGCAAACCGAACGACTCCAAGCCTCCGTACAAGACAAGCTTGACAGCCTGTGGGTGAATTTCTGCAGGAAGCTAGTCAAAGGCGGGTTCAGCAAGAAGAAGAACATGGACGGTGAGGACACCGACGTGTACAAGTAAAATGCTGGCGAAATACTGAAAATCTGCCGGACATCCCGAGCGAGCGAGTTCTGTCTAAAACAGCACGTCAAGTACATGGCGCACATTCTCGCATGCCCAACTCGAGCGGGCAAAAACAGTGGCTGTTCACCAAGGCTGAGCATAAAAACAAAAAATCTGACTGATTTATGTATCTGTAACATAAGAATCAAAGACTGTCTTTATTTATACTTTCTAAGGCTTGTGATGTTATTTCTAAATAGTTTAAAATGAATTGAGACCGTTTTGCCATGACACTAAACTTTGGTTATTCTCACCTGCTCCACAGACAAGTTAGACTCCAGACCACTTGTGCACTGCTGCTGAAGTGTGTCCATGCTTCTGACTGGCTGAAAACCATTTACGCACATATCTCCAGGAATTTTACGATATCTATAGAGAGCCGAAATTGAAAAATGTGTTTTGCATGTGATTCAACTTCACCTTAACTTCCAGCCATTAAGAGGATGTTCCAACACTCATTTCCACATTCCATGATTGTTATGATTGTTACATACATGTACATACACATACACGGGAAATACCCGGTACACTAATAGTATACATGGGAGTGTAGAAATACATGTAATAGTTAAAGAGGTTGTGGAATGCTCGAAGACATTTCCGTCATTTTTCGGGTATATGTAGCCTAAGGTGTGATGAAATAAAAACAACTATTGTTTCTGTCATGAAATGAGTACAAAAGGTACTTTTGAGAGCTGTTTTTCAGGTCCAGTTTCGACCCGAACGTGCAACTGTGTAAAAGTCGTCGTTGCGGGCAGCAAACAAAACACAGTAAATCGTGACGTAATAAACAGGACTCGTGTATGCTACTGTGCATCGGGAGTCCTGTTTATTACGTCACGATTTACTGTGTTTTGTTTGCTGCCCGCAACGACGACTTTTACACAGTTGCACGTTCTTTATTATAATAAAATAAGGCCGCGGTAAGTCAAGCGATACCATTTGGAGTACTGTTATTCGAGTACGAGTACTTTGATGATCGAGTATAATTTCGACATGTCGAGTACGAGTACTTTGCTGCCCGAGTACCAGTACCGTCGTTACGAGTATGAGTACTTTGACATTGAAGTATGAGTACTCTAAAAAAAAATTATACGAGTACCGAGTACGAGTACTACAACAATGCTTACCACGTGTACAGAGTGAGTTTTAAAAAAAAATGTCCCTTTGGAAAATTTGTTGTCTCCCACAAAGGAAGAAAGCTTACCAGCTTTTCTCTTCAGCCAACATTCGATCTGAGTATTGACCACATTCAGTACAAATGTCACTAATATTCATCCATGCATGCAAAGGATACAGACCTTTCTTTGCAACTACCCAAAAACACTAACAACACAATGTTTCTCAATATTTTAAGGGGGTATTCAACGTTAATGCCACAACCAAGAACCAGACTTGTATTCGAGTCACTAAACATCGAGTCCAAGTCCGAATCCGAGTCACATTTCTTGAGTCCAAGTCCGAGTCCCGAGTCCTCCAGGTCGAGTCCCAGTCCGAGTCACGAGTCACAAAGGTCGAGTCCAAGTCCCGAGTCACGAGTCACCTCTTTGTATCGAAAAACATACATTTTAGGGAATTCAGAGATTCAGAGTCACCTTTGATATAGTATTGGAAAAACATACATTTTAGGTGCTGTAAATTTCCATTTTTCCCCACAGCTTTTCTCTAATTTTCTCTGGAAATGAGGAGTTCATTCGCAAAAACAGTTATAAAGGCAATTCAGACAAAACTGGTATTGGACTAACTTTTGCATTTAAAGTTCAGGCGTTTCAAATATCTTTTTTTAGACTTCTATGAAAGGTGGCGATTGAAGTTTGACGTAGTGCCGGTTTTCTCCTCTATTTCCTCTTGCAGAACTTGCATTCTGCACCTGATCTTCCATTTGCATTTCTCTTGAAGTTAAGATACCCAAAATTGACAATTTTTGGAGTGGATGCTATCATGATCTACGTACATTGCAACTTGCATGTAACGTTACCGAAACTGGCAGATCAGCAGACTAATCATATCGCGTTATCGCGATGCGACAGCAATACACGAGTGAACGACAGGACGTCTGCCAAGAAAAGTCTGGTACCTTACCCTATCAATCTTGCACCAATGCAGTATTGCGTGCGGACGGCGGGGTACAAGTTTCGGTACATTGATTTCTTTAATCAATAGATCGGTAACCGGCCACGGCCACACACGCACCGTATCGAGCGCCCTGTACATGTATTGCACAGTAAAGAAAACGATCGACTTACGTATGTGTGCGTGTGCAGTGCGGTAATTTCCATCGAGTCACAAGTCAGTTCGAGTCCGTAGCCCCGAGTCCGAGTCCGAGTCGTAAGTCAAAGTGACTCGAGTGCGAGTCCAAGTCATTAAAAATGTGACTCGAGTCTGACTCGAGTCCGAGTCACGAGTCATAAGTCTGCCAAGAACCTGAATAAGATGCGCCAAGATCTCAAAATCTAATATCCCCCTTCAATTTTTTTCTTTGGGGCACCTCAAGGACCGGGTGTACTGCATTGTGCCAAACACCCTGCAGGACTTTCACCAGGATTACTTGTGAAATCCAAGCCCTCACAAGAACACGGATGGTCCGCAGAGCTATTGCAGACATGAGGACATGGGCACAACTACGCATTGATCTGAATGACAGACAGGTGGAGGGTCGAGAAGCAACAAAGTGAAAATAACCGTATCTGTCATTCACTTTCAAGTTCAATAAATGTAATTCTATTTAATTGATGTCTTGTTCTGCTATTCCTATAATTTCCTTCATTGTCCTCAGGCCCATTGTTGCCATCGTGTTCACAGCAAAAGGCATATTCTGAACATCGTGTTGGTATGGTTTGGGGTAGTCACAAAGAAAGGCCTGTATGGATACATCCTTTTCATGCATGGATGAATATCAGTGAAACTTTTACTGACTTATGGTTAATACCCAGACCGAATGATGACTGAGAAGAAAAATAACAGTGTTGCTGTTGAAACCCCTCAACAGGAGTGAAGTTATCATCTGGAAACCATTAACCTTTAATTTACTACTGTGACTTTGACCTTTGACCTTTTGACCCCCAAATCAATAGTAACCTTTCCCATTTTTGTGGGAGACAACAAATTATCCAAAGTGACATTATTTTTTACCCACCTTGTACATTGTATGCACATGGACTTACCAGTATTCTACTTGTAATATACTTCAGAGTGCAATAACGTGACTGACATTACCTTAAGCTAAAAGACCGAGACTGACATTACACGTGACTGCAAACTCGTCCCCAGAGTGCTGAGCAGTACGCACCCACCACTACCTGTTCTCTCACCCTGGTATTGGATCATTTGCATGTGCAAGATTTTTGAACACGTATGCAAATGAGGAATAGTCTGGTGCATGCCTAGTGTGTGACATTTGTGTTTGTTTTTGTATGCGATGTCTGAGGTAAAAACAGAATCAATTTGTCGCAGCGCGAGCATGGCATGAGTTACGAAAATACAATTTTACATTAATTAAACTGTTACGATCTTAACGAGACAACATGCAGTATCACATTTTATATTAATAAAACAAACTGGAAAGGAAATGAATATTTTCGATAAGGCGTGGACGAATGATCGCGAAAACACGTACTGCACGTTGTTAATAACAACACCAAGTATACGATATAAATCCAGTTCTAGCCAATTGCGGTATCGAATCAGGATGCTGGAAGAAAGTTTCCTATCCAGGGCTATTGGAAACGAGGTTGGAAATAACGTAAGCACTGGGGATGAGGTTGACGTGACTGACATTTTTGTTATAATTATTTCAATATTTCACAGCTCTAAACCACAAAACTTATAAACAACGATCAATGTCACACGGTGTTACTACTTCCCAGAACTCAAGTTAAGACTCTTTTTTATAGATTTACTTAACTGGTCAGAATGTTGGTATTTCCAAAAAGAAAAAGAAGTACCTTTTTGTGATTGAAATCATAGTATTTTTTGTTTCTCATTTACAATCAAAGGCAATGAAATAAAAATGATAACTGAAAAATGCTACACATGTTCATAAAAACATTCCCCCAAAACAAAAATTGAAATAAACTAGAAGTATGTCTGTTTGATGGACAGAACATAGGGCTTTACAGCATTATGATTTTTGTTTGTGCTTTTTTGGTAATGTGCAGTCATATAAATAATAAATTTTATGTGTCACCTCATGAAATTATTCTTACCACTGCACTCATACACATCCATTATTGAACATCAGCTATAAAGTTTCATTCATGCAGTGATGGGATCACAGAATAAAATGAAGGTTAAACAGATGAAGCTGGTTTTATTGTATAACTTACCCCCAAGTATTGATCTTCTCCTCGTTTCCATTAATGCAGATGTCCAGGTGTGAGGGGTCAACATCCGCACTCACTTTGCATTCTTTACTTTCACCTTTGCGGCTAAACCCAAAGTCACTGAAGAATATAAAAAAAGTGAAAACATATCAATTTCAAAGTGTGGTTACAAGTAATAAGGGATGAACAAATAACAAGGGCAACTTTGTAACGTCACTTTAAGTGACTTGAATTTGGACTAGAAGCATTGTAATGGACCTGTGAGGAATTGTGAATCTGCAGCATAAACATAATAAGAAGTAAATGACATGCTAGGTTATGTGTTTGTATGGACTCCAAATTAAAGTTATGTTCGCAGAAAGCTTTTTTAAACTGCAAAATAGTGACTCATATTGATAATGTTGACACCATCCCCCCCCCCCCCGGAAGTGTGTGCCGATTCTACTAGCGAATACTTACCTGTAGAGCATTACCACATGAGGATGCTATCCATTCTCTATCATTTTCCTACATTATTTAGCGGCCTGTCCACCATTTCACTCCCTCTTTTCTTGAGAGTACAAGTGCTTGAGAGTTGGGAGGCAGGTGGGCGCTCCATGGGTAAGTACTTGCAAGTAGAATGGGGGAGGGGGATTCTACTGCACTTGTCTTACCCATAGAGCACTACTTCATATAGGTAGGTGGGTTCAAGCATACAACATAAAGTGTACAAGCTGGTCAGCGGGCTGCACGGGAGTGTAATCCCTATGAATAAACACCCATCAGAACGAAACCAGGAAATCGGCACTCACCAAAGAGGACAGGCCTTTACTGTTTGGTACTGGGGGGCACCAGCGGTGTACAAACTGAGTCTGGTAATGCTGCTGGGATGCTAAGTCGAGGGGCTGCATGGTCTGTTTGCTCTGGAAGTAGCAGGTTGTGTACATGCTGGTGGATGTCACCATGTGGCTTGCTAGATGTCCGTTAGTGGCACATCCTTGCAAAAGGCCCATCAAAAAGCTACACTCTGGACTTTTTGGGCATGTACCTTGTTCCTGGGGTACAGGCCAATCTATGAATACAAGCACATGGCAGACGCAGCCCAATAGGCGATAGTGTTGCGAGATGCTAGATGGTGCGGCAGAACTTCATTTAATCTCGGTCTGATAGTCGCCGCCAAATTACGTACCAGCTATGGGTACAGACCCAAGGTCTTTCATCCGAAATTGATGAGAGAAGCTTGAAGTTGGGTATCAAGATGTCAAAAATCATTGATGAGCTGTTTTCTGTGGGAGGGGAGGCATGGGGCTGGAACATACATGGCCTGGCTCCAAAGAACTTTAATGAGGATGGGTTTCGCTGAGTTCGCTCTGCAGCAAGCCATGGCTACTATCAAGAGGAAGGTCATCACCAAGGAGATAGTCAGGATAGCAGCCTCATTAAGGGTCTCGAAGGGGCCCGAGTTAGTGTAAAACCTGCCCAAGGACCCCTAACATAAGAAGGGTGAGTTGGGGTATAAAACCATGCCCGGATGAAATGTGCATGGACACCTGATCGCAGAGAAAGCTGCCATACATGTTTAAATTGCCATATTTGCCCAGAAACAGCTCTGAATCGATCTGCCTTGATCTTCCTGGACACTCAGAAGAGATGGGAGATATGGGAAAAGGGGGCAAACAGCTGGTCTATAGTAGAGGGTCGGTTTGCCATGCCTGAGACTTGGAAAAACAGGAGCTGAAATAGAAGCTAACCGTCGTTCTCTTTTGAGAAGTACCATGTTGCAAAGCAGAGGCCAGGAAATGGGCTCACCCTGGAGATTCATGTAAGAGGCCGCCATTTTGTTGTATCCTCCCAGACGGTACCCTCATTCAGGGTACAGGCAGACATGTTGCAAACTCGGTGCCAGGCAGGAGACCAGATTGGACCGAAGGAGAAAGGGGCCAGAAATAGAGCTGGAGCGGACATAAGTAAAGGCAGCATATTGGAATCAAGTTTAAAATGATTACCAATAAGCAAGTGAACAATAGCCACATGGGGACATTACAGCAGGTGTGTCAGCAGAAGAAAGAGCAATGGCTGGCATCTGCCTTTTCGCTCCAGTAAAGGTGTTGTCCCATAGCAATGGTGCCTGAATGTCATCTCTTGTCAAAACACTCGATTTCTCCCTAGAGAGCCCGGTGCTTGTTTTAGTCAGTGGGTGGTCTGGGAGCATCCATTAACTGGAACCATGACTGAGGTTAAGTTATCAATGGTCAGAGGATAGCCAGGGTTAAGACCAAGTAAAATGGGTCAAAGAGCCCCATAAGTTGAGGGTAGAGGCCTGGAGCCTTTGGGATATAGTGACTGCTACAAGCCAGCCTATGGTTGAAGCAGCAGCGTAATCCAAGTTGGATGGAAACTTCAAGGACTGGTGGAGTCTGACAGCCTGACAA